GTTTCCATTAACAGGGAGAGGTGAGGCATGTCTTGTCATGTGTCACAACTCTGCTATACCCAAGTTTGAATTTCATTAATTCTCACTCCGTCTCCATTTCTTTTGTCTCCTAAAACACCCATCTTCCACCGGCGTTCCCGTTCTTTGGCCTCGTTTGATTAAAAGCTGATAATTACATTGTTCCTGTTCCTGCATGGTTTCCCTGCTGATTCTGCAGGGACGTCGTCTTCTCCCGCTGGCACCTGATTGAACTCTTTTGGGGCTTTGAGGAAACAATCAAAGCCATCCGAGAGTAAAACAAGACGGAAAAGATGAGTGAAGAATGGGATACACTCGTTGTATACTTTGGGTTTTAGGGTATGTTTACACTAGGGCTGGGTAAAAAATATAGATTTCTCGATTTTAATCGATTCTCATTTTTACGAAATTATAATGATTCTTAAATCCCAAGAATTGATTAATCTAGATTAACCTGTTTTCAGTTAACAAACGGAACATTGTAACGCACCTCCTATACAATAAATCGCAAAAAACTTTGTGCTTTGTTACTTTTGATATTAAACAAGGTCTCATATTTCAAATTCTGTCCAATTTATTACAGTATTCAAACAATAAATGCTGTTTTGGTGCTGTTTAATGTGGAGTGACAGATCGCTGTAGCGTTCAAGAGAAGCGCCAGCGCAAAGCGCACATGAACTGATCATCGCTTCCGCTTTAATAACCGATTTAGCATGAAATAAACATGAATGAAAGTCCGAAGGTACTGTATGTTAAAAGAAACAGAACAACTTACCGAGATCTGCATCCTGTCTCGTGTAATTGCTCAATCAGTGTTTCAACCGCACAAAGATGTCAATATAAAATCTTTTAAACAATATCATGTAATGTCAGATTTACCCCAGAAAAAAATAAATAAAACTAATTTGGTGACTAAAAACCCATTATTCAGCAAGAAAAAAAAAACAGTACGGAGGAGCATTTTGCTAAAATTATGAACCGTATAACATATTCATTATAATTTGTACTGTTCTTCAATATTTAATTTATGTTTGAATAAATCCATCAAGTTTTTATGACAGCCACCATTCAAATATTTAGATATCAAAAAACGAATTGGAGTAGAAACACAATGATGTAATTCTAAATTTATTATTGTAACTTCATTATTATAAAAACGTAATTGAGTGTAATTTAAATCTTTGTGTACAAATCAGTTAATTTTAACCTTCAATATTACAGTAATGTTGTACCAACTGACTCTCATGTATATTTTACAGCATTAGTTGAGAGATTTTTTTTTCCTTGAGAAAATTTGCCATATACTGTACCTGATATATCGAAAATTGATATTGAATTTCAAAATTTATTCAAATTGTGAAATTGGTGTCGAAACCCAGCCCTAGTTTACACAACAGTGATGTACTAAAAACGGAAGAGTTGTTCCTTTGTGTTTTTGAAAAGTTTCGCGTAGGGACGAACATTGTCACAACAATCCCCATTCACACGGATCTGCAAAAACAGCTAAAAACACCATTATTCATGCTAGGCCAGTAGATGGTGATGTTACTAGGCAAAGAAACATTATGTCCCTACGCACAGACCTACGTAATACACATGCTCATGACGTCACTGTTTTCACAAATTTGCGATTATGTAATTTATACAGAGACGATAACGGTATCGCTTTCAAATACTTGCACTTTGAAACATGATTTCAAAAGTTTGTGTTTTCAGGCCCCCCAAATGCAAAATGAACAGCCAAAATGCACAAAAACATTTACCGTTTTTAGTTGAAATGGTGTCGTGTAAAACACTGAAAGAAGTACCTGAGCCGTATCTAGAATCCAGATTATTATAGTCACTTGTAAGTGGACCAAAAGTAGCAACAACCCAGAACACCTTTACTTTTACCATCGACATTTACTTTCGTCAATATCATCATCTCTTGGCTGTTTAATGATTGCGCTTATTGATTGCGTAGTATTGATTTAGGTCAAGTATAAAAGTAATTTCTGTCAGCTTTAAAATGATGATCATAATAATAGTAAAAAATCCCTTTGGCCAATTTGACATTTCTCCAGTAGATTTTTATTGAACTACACTAAAGCTCTTTCAACTTTTAACCCCAGCCTTCACAAACCAGCATCAATTTGAGGCAAAACTGTGGTGCTTTCTCTGAACTTTTCTCCATAATGACTGCATCTAATGGCTTCTTCAAGGTCATTACATGGCTAATCCTGTAGCATTCAAGTGGCAGCTGTACTCGGACCAGAGCCAGTTTATTTCCCTCACTGGCTGATTTTGGCAGACTTGCCAGGTTGCTTATGGAGAATCGTGACTAAGTGCTCAAGTGACTCTTATTAACGTCGTCTGTGACTGGCTGGTGTACTTTCTGTTCCCAGTTTTGGCGGTGCAATATCTGTCAGATTTATAGACGTTACACTTTTGATGTTTACGGAGTCTGAGATGTATCAACGTCAATTGACAGACGGCCAGAGGTCATTCCCACAGGTGTAATGAAGACGCTAAATCAGTCTGACACCAAATTAATGAAACCATATCTCTCAGGTCATCCACTCTGTCAGACTTCATCATCTACTTGGTCTTAAATTATTATTTCGTTTGAGATGTCGTACAATAAATGATTAGATTTACTTATCAGATTGTTTAGTGATCTCGGTAATTGTATAATCATGTTCGCTTTATTTGCTGTAGCTCAGTTTACCCTAGGGAAACGAAATATTATGTATAAAGATATAAAATTCAAGATTTGTGTTTGTCACATACAAGTTATATAAATATACAACAAGCAGTGAAACGTAGGTCTAGCATACTTAGTAGACTTTGCAATAAAAGAGATAATACAAAGAAATTAATAGAATTCTCTTTTTAAAAGAAATGATGAATTATTATTTTAAATGTAATTATTGTTTATATTACGTAACATTTACTAAAATAACATTATATAATGTACATATATTATATAAATAACTAAAATAAATGATATAAAATAAAAAATGAATGTTATTTTTAAATTATGAAGTACTATAAAATACATGTTACAATTACTTGAAATGCAATTATAATTTATATTAAAGTTAAATTAAATTTAGTTGATTCTATGTCATATAAAATAAATTATTTATTTCTTTTTTTTTAGTAAAATGTGCTCAAAGTGGTGAACATCCAATAAGTTAAAAAATTGGAAAAATAAATAATTTTAAAGTTAATTCTAATTATATTATATAATAAATTGTTTTTATTCTAGACATTTAATAGATCATTATATACGTTTTATATATAATATAAAATAAATTAAAATATAAAATAATAAATTTTTTTATTTTGTAAAATCTGCTCAAAGTGGTGAACATTCAATAAATGATAAATGATAAAATAGGATAGTGATAAAAAAAGGATAAAAATAGCGCCTATATTCACTCTTGGATACATTAGGTCAGTTTAACAAGTGACTTCTTTTGGTGCAGTTTTGGGTTATTTTTTTCCCCTAAAATTGTGTTTAAAACTAGCCAAACACAGAGATCCTCTTTAGACTTACTATAAGCACACAGGGCAAAGGGTCACTTCAGCACTTAACTTTCACCTCACAATAACAATAGATCAATGTGCATATACTGTACAACACCGCACTCCTTCACTCATTGAACTCTCAAGGCTGAGATTTACCCTTTATTCTCTCTTTCTGTTCTTCCCGTGAATTACTCCCAAACTGCTTTTACCGCCCCATTTTTCTCACATTTACGCTTCTATTGGACAGCCGGCCTTGGGTAGCCTTGAAAATGTAGACCTTTGGAGTGAAGTGGAGCCCATATCTCTCCTAAAGCAGTTGTTATAAGCCCTCTGACGACTTGAAGCAAAGATTTTTTTTATACTGCTCATCTGTCCAGAAGACGACAAATGTGCATTAATAAATAATAGACTGAAGTGTTCATAAAAAAGAAATCTGAGCCATATTCACTCCCAAAAGCCTTTTTTTTTGGTTTATTTTATAAAACAAATCCAAATTCTTCTCTTTCTAAATAATTTATTTATTTTTTTTTAGTAAAATGTGCTCAAAGTGGTGAACATCCAATAAGTTAAAAAATTGGAAAAATAAATAATTTTAAAGTTAATTCTAATTATATTATATAATAAATTGTTTTTATTCTAGACATTTAATAGATCATTATATACGTTTTATATATAATATAAAATAAATTAAAATATAAAATCATAAATTTTTTTATTTTGTAAAATCTGCTCAAAGTGGTGAACATTCAATAAATGATAAATGATAAAATAGGATAGTGATAAAAAAAGGATAAAAATAGCGCCTATATTCACTCTTGGATACATTAGGTCAGTTTAACAAGTGACTTCTTTTGGTGCAGTTTTGGGTTATTTTTTTCCCCTAAAATTGTGTTTAAAACTAGCCAAACACAGAGATCCTCTTTAGACTTACTATAAGCACACAGGGCAAAGGGTCACTTCAGCACTTAACTTTCACCTCACAATAACAATAGATCAATGTGCATATACTGTACAACACCGCACTCCTTCACTCATTGAACTCTCAAGGCTGAGATTTACCCTTTATTCTCTCTTTCTGTTCTTCCCGTGAATTACTCCCAAACTGCTTTTACCGCCCCATTTTTCTCACATTTACGCTTCTATTGGACAGCCGGCCTTGGGTAGCCTTGAAAATGTAGACCTTTGGAGTGAAGTGGAGCCCATATCTCTCCTAAAGCAGTTGTTATAAGCCCTCTGACGACTTGAAGCAAAGATTTTTTTTATACTGCTCATCTGTCCAGAAGACGACAAATGTGCATTAATAAATAATAGACTGAAGTGTTCATAAAAAAGAAATCTGAGCCATATTCACTCCCAAAAGCCTTTTTTTTTGGTTTATTTTATAAAACAAATCCAAATTCTTCTCTTTCTACCGGCTAAATTAGTTAGTAAGTTGTTGTTTTGCATATTAAACGTGATAGTTTGACTGGTTTATTATATTTTAGATGACCTGGCCGCAAAGGCCAACATCATCATAGATCCGGCGGAGATCCAGGCCTCGTCTATGGACGATTTGGATGAAGATGAGGAAACTGGAGCTGCACAGGTACATTAATGACCACCAAGAATCCTTTTCACAACATATTTGAACATCTAAAGTCCTTTTTATATGTAATAGTGGGAAAGATGACTATAAAAAAAAACATGTTAAAGGAGTATTCTGGGTTTAATACAAATTGAGCTATGTCTCTTCTGCTCATCAAGACTGCATTTATTTGATCAAAAATACAGAAATGTGAAATATTACAATTTAAAATAAATGTTCTCTATTTTAATATATATTATTGAATTTTCAGCATCATTACTCCAGTCTTCAGTGTCACATGATCCTTCAGAAATCATTCTAATATGCTGATTTATTATAAATATTGGAAGCATTTGTGCTGCTTAACATTTTAGGCTCTTTTTATTTTGATATAATTATAATATAGGATCATAATCTTACATAGGATCATTATATAATATCGTATTTTGTATACTATATAATATAGGATAATTATCTTATATAATTTTAAAATATATATTAATACTTTGAATGTTATATTTTTATAAGACCATGTATATTTCTATAGCACAACTAAACACAACAACAGTTGACCAGTGTATGTATGTAATATGTTATAAAAATGTTACATTTTATTTATTTATTTATTGTAAAGGTAAATTAAATACAAATATTCATACATATAAATCACATGAATAATTAAACTATTTTATAATGTAAATTACAAAAGAAATGTAGTTTTTACAAAAGTAATTAATTATAATTCATTATTTCACTTCATTTACATGTGTATTGTAATTTTTATGCAAACACACACAAACACACGCACATGTACATACATACATACATACATACTGTACAATATAACTTAGTATTAATATTAAAACATTGATTTATATTATTAATATTGAAATCAAATAATAATATACTGCAAACTACTATAATTGTATATTTTATTATATGCATTTTATTATATTACTGTTATTTTTATATATATTTTTTATATTACTTTAATATTTAAATAGCTGAATGTGAAATGCAAAAAAAACCAAAAAAAAAACAATGATTACTAACGTTTTTTGTGTAACTTTATTTAGTTTTACCTTGTTGCCATGGCAACATAATGCCTAAAACCCTGAAGTGACCCTTAAAAACTGACGAGAACAACTTTGTAGCTCAAATAAGACAAACTGTAACAGAAAAGTGCCTTTGTAAATTTACAAGCTTCACATTTCTTTTACATTCTCCAAAAAACGTCCCCTTTTACTTGCATTTCGTGGCCCCATTTAGTTCCATTAGAAGTGACCTGGAGTTTGGCTGTAGCTGAATCTCATTGGGACGTCCAGTGTCGAGTGCTTTGTTTAGTGCAGCTGGTCTAGTTTTGTTGGTGAGGACGTTATGCTGAATGTCCTGCGGCTGAAGATGAATGCTGTTGTGTGTTTGGGAACGGCAGAGACCGTCTGGTGCTGTGGCCATGGGTGGCGCTTTGGCCCGTCCCAGCTGGTTGAGCTCCCCGACGCTGGGTAGAGCCAACCGCTTCCTGAGCACCGCCGCCGTCAGCCTCATGACCCCTCGACGACCCCTCGCCCCGCCGGAGAAGGTCAAGGTCCGGACCCTCGCCGTGGAGCAGAGAACCGAAGAAGACAGTGAGTCCAGCAGCTGACTTAGTTTTGCTGCTATTTTTAAATAATAATAATAATAATACATGTATTTTTTTATTATTTATAATATTTATAATTTTCTTTATATCATATTTCATTTTAATTTTATAGTGCTATTTTAAATATCAATTAAAGGGTTACTCCACCCCAAATAAAAATGTTGTCATTAATCACTTACCCTCATGTCGTTCTAAACCCGTAAAAGCTTTGTTCGTCTT